AACGCAGATAAACCGGAAAAATCCAAATGTAGAAGTATCAATGATCTCTCAGAGTAATGTAAAAATTTGTAAACAGTACTCTGTGATTTTACTTAGGAATTACAAATGAATTATCACATCTATTGACAAAAGTATGTATGTATACGAACAATGTGCAGTTGTGGAAATAAATACATATGAGAAACAGGTAGACGTTTGAGACAATGTCTAAAGACAACCAAGATGATTTACACACTAGAAGAAAAGACAGACCTCAACCAGAACAAATGAAAATTATATAACCACTTAAATGCCTGGATTTCCCATATAATTCCAGTTAATGTTGACCTGATGAAGAATCATATGAATAGCCCATCTTTCTACTAGATGAAGTACCATCCGAGTAGCCCTTATTTTCTCTAGATGAAGAATAACATGAATAGCCCATCTTTTCATTAGATGAAGAAGCATTTGAATAGCCCATCTTTCTACTAGAGGAAATACCATCCGAGTAGTCCTTTCCTCTAGATGAAAATAACCTGAATAGCCAAACTTTTTACTAGGTGAAAAATCATTTGAATAGCCTATTTTTCTACTAGATGAATGATCATTTGAATAGCTCATCTTTTTACTGGATGAAGAATCATTTGAATAGCCCATCTTTCGAACTTTGCAAGTTGTCTGTACTGTTCTTAAATGTTCTACAAAACTTAATACTCATAACTTTTTGTAACCACAATGAAGGTTATAATCATTCCTATTGACAATCTCATTAAATTCCCTGAAGACGTTTAATTGAATCACATCTAAAGAAAAAAATAGTCAATACGCATTCAGAACCAGCAGTAGGCCGTTGAAGTTAAGAATCGATATATAGTTAGTATTGTTAGGTACTTCAAATTTATTATATCTTTTCTGTAGTGAGAGTTAATTTACAACTTTTTTGGGAGACAAAATGAGTTATTTTAAAAACAAAATAATTCGAACATTATACAATCATTTTTGTAATAGCTTCAAGATCCAATATGAAAATTCACTGAAGCTCAACTTCCACTTGTAATATAGCTATGTATCCCAAAAGTGACAGTTACATAAAAAGATTTGGCCAACTCGTTTGTTTGTTTATGGAGTTTCTTGCAAAGCTACACAAGGGCTATCTGTACTAGCCGTCTGTAATTTAGCAGCGATAGACTAGAGGGAAGGCAGCTAATCAGCACCACCTACTTCCAAAACTTGGGCTTCTCTTTTACCAATGATTAGTAGGATTGATAGTAATATTATATTGTTTCCACAGTTGGCCAAGTCGATTTGGCCAACAGAAACAGTTAAACATGCCTTCTGTTAATTCTTTTGACAGAATTTGTTCAAAGCTAAATTTTGAACTGAAATAATTAATAAATACTTCTTTCCTTAAAGTATTCATGTGTCATGTGACACCAAGCCTATTTGTAATTATCCATGGCAATGACTAGTTTGTTTGCTTTGGACATTTGCCTCAAATTATGAAAGGGCTATCTGCAATCCACCCTCCCCCAATTTTGAACTAACATACAAAATGGAAGGCATCTAGTCAATAGCATGAACTGCCAACTCTAAGGCCAATTTAATCAAATAATGGGATTTGATCTTTATAAGACACTCAAGGTTTCAAAGAGCGGAGCATGATATTATGGCAATGGGATATGAACCTTGGACCCTCAGATTCACTGTCCAACACCCTGACCACTTTATACAGTGTCTCTAAATTCTTGTTGGTAAAATTTCAACTCTATGGACATTGTCATTATGTTCTTAGTACTGTTATCACCTCTGTGTACAGTGTCTTTAGGTTCTTGGTTATTATAAGCCTATTTTGAAATGCAATATCTGATTATCTTCAACTTAGGCTAAAGTTCTGGATGACCTATTTTTCATTTTATACTTTAACACACATCAGATGTAAAATTATTTTTCCTTCCTGATTCTTAAATTGAAAGATTCTCATTTCTAATCATTCCTCCAATAATTAATAGGCTATGTACCAGGAGACAAGGTGTGGTTGTATAATCCCAGGAAGACCAAAGGGAAGTCTCCTAAGTTGTCTTCTCCATGGGAAGGCCCATATGACATAGTGGATCGTCTCTCAGACGTGACTTTCCGGATAAAATGTGGTCGGCGAGGTAAGCGAAAGGTGGTGCATGCCAACAGGCATTGGTGTTATCACGGTCCAGGACATTTCAGTTGGGACGAAGTGAACAACAGAACAAATGACGCTGCTGAAGACGTGTCACCTGAAAAAGCCACTGTCGAAGAAGGAACTCTACTCGGTTTTGAGAAGGGAAATAGCGAAGCCCTTGATGAATTTACTACCACTGATGTGACTATTACCAATGATAGGATGTTTCCTGATGAAGCAAATGAACCCCACTTGAAGCAGAAGTTAACGAGACGGAGACCAGTACGGAAGAAGATACGTCCGTAAAATTAAGAGACTTTGTTGAATTGTAATTTTGTGTTTGTAAATTCTGTACATTTAATTAAGTTATTGTTAATTGTTTGTTGGTTTAATGTAAGTGGCTATTGTTCGGGACGAACAATACTAAGGAAGGGGCAGTGTTACGACAGCGGAGGTCACGTGACGCTAGTAACACGTCATGCACTTCTAGAACGTTCATGAAACCTCGAGAGGTTACTAGATTCGGTATTCTTGTACATATAAGACGGCCAACACGTGACGGCAACAATGTAATGTGTAATTGAACTGCGGACACAGAGAGACGTATTGTTGAGTCGAGCACGTGAGACGTTCGTCGTGAATTATAGCGTGACTGTGGAAATTAAGTGTATTGCAAAGTTTTATTTAGAAAGAATAAACCAGTTTTATTTAAGAAAGGACTTGTATCGCTAAAGTTTCTTCGGAAAAAAATTATACGGAAAATTAACTAACGAACGGAGGCGTAACAATAATGACAGATTATACATCTAAACTAGACCTTAGATTTGGGTACATAGATTGAAAGCACCTTGTATTGAATCTACCCAGATCTAGATATAACCCTGCCTCATCAATTATAGATTTAGATTTATGAAGCCTAACTTTTAGAACAAATATTACATCTAGATCTATTAACTTAGTTATTAGATCTGCCCCAGTGCAATGCCTAGTTTAATAGTTAGTATAGGTCTAAGTATGCCTATAATATAGGCTACAATTTGTATGATATGGACCTAGGGT